ATCATAATATACACTTTAGGCATGCTTTTCTAACCAAACATAATCAATTAGTGATCATGCTTCTCAATTTAACAATCAAATAACAATATGCAGTTCACATAGGCAAAACCAAGGCTGATACTTCTCAAATTTATACACTGGAACATAAACTATAACACAATTGCTTCACAAAATCTATCACATAATGCTCATTTCTAATCCAAATTCAACGAAATCAAAGTCCAAACGTGCGTCATGACGGCCCCGAGGTTCCGAGCCACAAGGGCCCGCGACTCCCAGCGATACGTAGCTGAGCCACAAGGGCCCGGCCACTGCACAAACAAAGCTAGGCGGAGCTTGCGGCGGGGCTAGGAGCCCCGCCGCCTGGGACCGCCAGATGGCGGCCTAGGGCCACGGCCCTTGCCTAGGGTCATGCCCTAGGGCCGCTCCATCACGGCTCTAGCCAACGGCTCCCCTCGTGGGCCGTTGGCTAGCCCCGTGACTCTAGTTGGTGATGATCCATCTGAACATTTTATTCCTCTCCCACCCCCCCCCCCCCACCCCCCAAAAAAAAAAAAATCATTTGATGAGGAAAATCTACCTGCATATTCAACACCATTATCTCCATGGATGGCATGAGAGAATACGAGATACGAGCCACATCATGGTGACTTTTACCAATACCTCTGAATTTGAGCCTTGCCTTATTTGGATTTCAAGCTTTTTCATTGAAACAAGTTTATGGATGATTTTCCTTAAGATTTTATTTTATTTGCTTTTGAACTTTGGTGTGTTTATTTTTATTTTATGCTTGTGTGCTTTATTTGACTTAACTGCTATACATGTTTTCCTTTTAGCCTGTAATAACTGCTATATATTTTATTGGCCGAAGTGTCAAATAAGCTCATCTACTATTGTCAAGTTCTCAATTCCCACCACGAACTAAAATATATTCTAATCAGCCACACTTACTTCCTAAAATTGTTCCATTAACTTTTTTTGCAGGTTACCTCCGGTAGACTTTGACTTGGCCCGATCATGATTATGTGGCAGTGATTACGTGGCATTAAAATAACAAAATTAACAAAACATCACTTTCATTGTGAAAATCCCATTGCCCTCTATGCCACTCGGGTTCACGTCCGACTGAAACATCTTCTTTAGAGAGAGAGAAGTAGGAGATAGATAGAGAGAGAGAAAGATGAGTGGGATAACGCAGACTGGGAGCTCGTGGTGATCCGCAAGAAGGCGCCAACCGCCGCGCTTGCAAAGACGAGAAAGCTGCCAATGACGCCCGTCGCTTCGGCGCCGAGATCGAAACCATCAGGAAATCTAATGCTGGCACAAACAAAGCTGCCTCCAGGCTTCAGTAGCACTTCTCTGAAGACCAGGAAACTTGATGAAGACACAGAGAATCTAGCTCATCAAAAGGTGCCAACTGAATTGAAGAAAGCTATTATGCAAGCTCGGCAGGATAAGAAATTGACCCAATCTCAACTTACTCAACTCATAAATGAGAAGCCACAAATCATTTAGGAGTACGAGTCTGGAAAGGAAATTCCAAATCAGCAGATAATAGCGAAATTGGATCACCCTCAAGATCTCAAAGTCATCGGGTCCAATCTTTCAGAGCCCCAAACATCCAGCCTCATTATTTGTAGTACTTGTAGTGTCATTATTGTTAATAGGTGATGATGAGGAAGAGGATGGGGAAGATGCGGCGAGTGGGCCGAAGAGTTGGGAGAATTCGAGGTTTGAGTCGGTAGCGGATTCGGCGATTTTGAGGTTGGTGAGCTTGGAGGCGAGGATGGAGTGAAGAGCCTTTCTTCTTCTGCTGAGCTGAAGAAGAAGAAGAAAGCATACTCATGGCGAAATACTGTTTGGTTTCGTTGATGATTGGGCAGAGAGAGGCAGCTGAGATTGAACCCAAGGCGGGTTGAAGAGAGAGGCAGCCTTCTTCTTCGCCTCCTCCGCAGCCCCGACCGCCACACCGCCATCATCTACTTCCCCTAAACAATACCCCTAAACATTGGATGGCTTGTGGAGGCGGCTAGCGGCCGATTCTCTGGCGCTCGGAGACTTCATACGATTCTCGCTGTCAACAGAGATTTAAGAAGTAATTTCCACCTCACCATACACTTTTATTCTAATAAAATTACATGTCAGCAATTCAATTGGTAACCTGAAGATAACCTGCAAAAAAAGCTAATCGAACAATTTTAGGAAGTAAGTGTGGCTGATTAGACTATATTTTAATTCGTGGTAAAAATTGAGCACTTGAGAGTAGTAGATGTGCATATTTGACACTTCTGCCTATTTTATTTTTATGCTTCTTAAGTAACTTTTGTCTAGGTATTTGTTTGTCCACTTTGACCAACAATTGCAAGACATTACCAGTAGTAGACTCACGTAATTCACACGCGAACATCACTAGGGAAGTCTTCCTTACTAATTTTCATTTTTATTTTTCAGCTCTTTACTTTATCAAGTTTTATCTTTTCTGAGCTATGTAACACGCAAGGCCGGATTTTGGGCTGTGCAAGCTGGGCTATCGTACAGGCACCAAATTTTAGAGGCCCAATATTTCATTTTTACCTAGCTAGTTTAGAAATAAAAACTAAAAATTTTTAATTAAATTTAAAAGGTTCCATAAAGAAATGGTAAGAACATGTGTTTATTGTATTTCAACTTGGAGGTCTAAAGTTCAAAACTTATATGTTGCTTTAACTTTTGATATCTCTTTATTTTTTTAATCATTTTGCATTGCGAGTTTGCACACACTATTATTATTATTATTATTATTATTATTATTATTATTATTATTATTATTATTATTATTATTATTATTATTGTTATAATTGTAATTTATTCCATAATACTATTATTATTATTATTGTTATTATTATTATTATTATTGTTATTATTATTATTATTATTATTATTATTATTATTATTATTATTATTATTATTATTATTATTATTATTATTATTGTTGTTATTGTTATAATTGTAATTTATACCATAATATGTCTTTGGGCTTTTTCTTTGCGCACAGTAACATTTTACCACCTTATTATTATTATTATTATTATTATTATTATTATTATTATTATTATTATTATTATTATTATTATTATTATTATTATTAGAAAAAATTACGATATTAGTTTTAAAGATAATTGTGATTTTGGTAGGGCCTCATTTATTTACTCGAACAGGGCCACACAAATCTAAAAACTGGCCCTGGTAACCCGCATGTCCCATATTCATATTTCTCCACTTTTTTGAATCCCTTGTAGTCGCATTTGCATTGAGGACGATGCAACACTTTAAGTGCGGGGATGATAGTGCAAGGGTTATTGTGCAAAATTTTGCAAATTTGTCATCAACCAATTTTTGTTTAATTGTTTTTATTTGGCAATTCTTGTATATATTTGTGTCCAATCTTAGCATTTTTAGAATTTTACCTTATCTTTTGTATATCCATGTGGTTTAGTTTGTATAGAATTTCACTTTTTCTTTAAAAACTTTAGGAAGTTGCCACCAAACCCAATTGAGAGCCCAGAATCGCACTTAATGCACACATCAGATATGAGATTTTGGAATGATTAAGGCAATAGTTACACATTTACTTCATCCATGTTTCCATCCCATTCACCCATTATTTATCTTTTAGGTATAACCAAGTTGAGCCTAGCGTTGATTCTTTCATGTATGACCCTTAGCTAGCTCTACTTGATTCAAAATGGCCTTTACATTTTCCAACTCATGCATGGGCAAGTCCCTCTGATTTGTGGTTTGAATGACGGTTGGTCCAAAAAGGTGAACAAGGGTGGTATACGGCAAAAGAAGAGCTCTGTGAGGTTTAATTTTTCCATTTTTTCATGAAAAAAAGCAATTGAGGGATATAAAGGAGTTAGGTGAATAAATTCTCGGACAAAAAAAGTCCTTGAAAACCCCTGATACTGCTAATTATACGTAAGCAATATGTAATAACACGAGACCAATTAAAGCAAGTAAATGACTTTATTGATCACAATAGAGGCCCTAAATACAATCTACTTGGTTGCTCTGAGTACCGACTGACTGCGGTCGGGATTCTCTAACAACAACCTATCGATCGTCCAAAAGTCCCCTACACTGTAGCCACTGTGGGTATTTATAGCCGCTGCGCCGGAGACAAGAATCCGGCCGTTCGGCATGTTCTCCACGTAGCCTCCACGTGTCATCCTCCCGGGTGCCCTGTCTGTCGCTGTAGAGAGCCGCCACGTGTCCTTTATCAGCTCTCTCGCTGAAGGGCTACCGCTCGGTGGTCGACACTACCGCTCGGGCAACCCCGGTCGGACCCCGACCGGGTTCTTCACAGGGAGCCCGACCTGTTACCTGCAAAGACCGAGAGAAAAGGACGAAGGCATCTCGGTCGTGGTGGAGCTATGTCGGTCGGGATATTCCCTACCAAGAGCCCCCAGCCCAGGCCTTTTTGATCGTCCGGGAAAAAACGGGACGGGATGAAGAAGCCCAACCGTCGGCCACTAAACCGACCGGCCAGCTGTCATTCCCCTCCTCGCCACGTGTCGGCCACTGCCGGCCTCTGCGACTGCAACCGTCGCCTCGGAATCAGCGCTGGTCGTGTCACGCAAGTGGATGATTTCCCGCCTAAATGCTCTCCTATAAATAGGCCCTTGAGGCCCTCATTTGAACTTTCCTCACTCTTTTGCTTCAGTCGATACCCTCAGAGAGCCCCGAGCAGAGCACCTTAGCGAGGCAGTCGAGCTAAAAGACTTCAAGCTTTCATTCGCAAAGTTCTTCCATTCGGTAAGTTCTCAACCCTTCTTTTACTTCACGTTTTCATTTATAAGTAGAATCGTTAGGTCAACTAACTGTCCCGGATGTCTCAAGTCCTTTACTAACCCCGACCGACCTTTAGGTAGATCGAAATGACGGACTCTGACAGCCAAAACGCCTCGATCGCGGACTACGACGAGGAGGTCGAGTACCTCAGCGACGAGGAAGTGGACATCATGTCCTACTCTCCCGAGGCCATTCACCGACCGGCGCCAGCCCCCGAGCGGGCTTCCGAACAAAACGACGCGTCAAGCTCCTCCGGGTCATCGAGTTCCAGCTCAAGCGGATCGGGGAGCTCCGGAGAAGAGGAAGAAGAAGGAACCTCGTCAGGCAGACGGGGTTCACCGACCAAAGGTGTTAGGGAAACGCCAACCCGGGTGGTTGGGGACCACCCGGAAGCCGTTGCTCGGGGAAGCAACCGGGAAAACACCCCTGAGCAAGCCGAGGAAAACACGGCCGGGCCGGCCGCACCAGTAGAGTTCGAATTCTTGAACAGCGAGAATGTCGAACAGCAAATGAGCCGGCTGACCAAAGGCGAAGCGGCTAGGATTGCTGAAATGCTCAGGGGTCGGGTGGAATTTGACACAAGCCGAAAGCTAGGGAATGTGATCGATCGGCACCGGGGCAAGTGGATCGGGATGCATTACGACTCCCTGATGGCCCCGATCGCCATTCCTTTCCCGCCCCTCCTGACGGCCTTCTTGGCATATTACCGGGTCGTCCCGGCTCAGATCTGCCCCAACTCGCACCGGATCATCGCCTGCTTTCCCCAGATATGCGCTCGGCACGAGGCCGCTTGCACGATGGAGCTGTTCAACTTCATCTACCAAGTCAAAGTTCTCCCGGGCAGCTATGGGGGCGGGTTCCTAATGCTGCAGTCTCGAGCGGACATGTGCGCCATCAAAGGCCTGCCCGGGAACAACAAGGGATGGAAGAATAGGATCTTTTCCATCAAATATGATCCTTGGATTCTCCCGGTCGACCGCGCTTGGAGCACCCACTTCCGGAAACAAGTGGTGCCGGACGAGACACAAGCGCTCAAGGAGACGGTCGCTCGGATCTCGAGCGAGCTGCACGAATACACAATCTTCCGAACGGCCGAGAGTCTCGAGGCGGCTAAAATCCCGCCCCCTACATACGAGCTACGGGAGAAATATCTGCCCGTACCTATGGGCGTGACGGTCGCCAAGCCGTCGAGGCGGAAGAAGAAAGGTTTAACCCGAGCTACTCTTCCCGATTTAACTTTATACCGATCGATCTAACTTTTTTTATTTGCAGCCATGGCAGAGTTCGGTGATGAAGATGCCCCCCTTCCCCCGCCCGCAAAGATCTCCCTTGGCGGCAAGAAGAAAACGAAGGCGAAGCCAGCGGGGGAAAAGGAGATCCCCATGGCCCAACCGCTAAGCGCCTCGACCGTGACGACGGCCGAGGGCTTCGTCGTGGAGCCATCTGATGTCCTAGTTACCCGGGTGGAAGTCGCCCGAGGTAAGGAGAAGGTGCCCGCCCGGACCGTAACTGAGGTCGGCGGGATGAAGCGCCGCCGAGAGCAGCGCAGCCCGAGTCCTTCGACCGGGCGCAACAAGGACAACCTGTCCGTGCTGGCCCGCATCGGCAACGCCGGGCCAGCCAAAGAAGACCTGGGGAAGATGACCCCGACCCAGGTAGCCGAGAGGATCGGCTACGATCTGGCCGATGTAAGCCTTCTTTAGCTATTCATCTTTTTGTGCAAGTGTCTTCGACCGGGCTAACCCCGACTGTCTTTGTCTTTGCAGATCTCCCGAGCGGCCCAATTATTACAGGGTCGGGCCATGCTGGCCGAGGAAGCCGACCACCATAAGAAGACGGCCGCCCGTCGCCTTCTGGAGGTTAAAGAGCTCCAAGCCGAGCTCGAGAAGGCTCAAAAGGCCTTAAAAAAGAGCGACGAGGAGCGAGTCCTGACGGAGAAGGTTGCCCATCGGGCAATCGAGGAGGCCAAACAGCTGAAGGCTCAGCTCGGTAACCCGAGCGAGTTGGCGCAAGCGGTCTTCAAAGACAGCGACTTGGGCTCAGCCTTCCTCACAGCAGCCCGAGGGACAAAGGTCGGGGAGGATCTGATCCTCACGTTCGGGCGGTGGGCCTTCAAGGCCGGGCAACGGAAGATGCTCGAGCGGGCTCGTACCCGGATGGAGCAAGCTCTCGAGGGGGAGGACCTTCAGCTGGTTCTCTCGACGCTGCCCCCGGACTTGGCTGATCCCGGTCCTTCTCCCTTCAGCCCCAAAGAGAAAACAGCTGAGCAAGGCGAGTCTTCTGCGGCCGCCGCGAGCGAGAAGGAAGCTGTTGGAGCTCGGGAAGCTGCTGGAGCTCGGGAAGCGAAGAAGTAGGGATAAGCTTCTTCTGTTTTTTTTGTAAAGGGACACTGATCGGGAGCCCGGTCCCGAATTTGTACCGGGCGCTTTCGCTTATTAATAAAATTAATTTTTTTGTCCAACTTATCCCGTTCGTCTTCGAGCACACACTGATCTCCATCGCTCGACCGCCCGGCCTTCAGGCCCGGTCTTGCAATACTTGACCCTGCTAACGCCCGACCTTAGGGCCTTATGGCTTGGTCGCACATCTGATGTTTCGTCGTAAAATTGGCCAATCCGACCGAGTTTACCCGATCTCCCGGCCTTGACGATTTTTTGAAAGTAGATTCGTCATAATATTAACCTACCCGACCAAGTTTACCCGGTCTCCAGGTCTTGACGAATTTTCCGAAAAGAAGTAAGCCCCACGGTCAGGATATACCGAGCGATATGGGCCTATCAACACTTAATTTTTCGAAAAGAAGTAAGCCCCACGGTCGGGATATACCGAGCGATATGGGCCTATCAACACTTCATTTATCCCAGCCCCCACACTAATGTGCCCTCGAGGCACGAGTGGGTGCGATAGTGGACAGAAGTTGGACGGATCGGGGAATTATGCTGAGAGCTCCTGGCTTCCCCGATCAATGGCGTGACTCGAATGTCCGCCGATGTGGAGCGCATCTGACCGGTCGATAGATTCGCCCGGTCGGTGTAGCTTGAAGATAAATTGATCTGCATGCACTGAAGGTATAGAAAATAACCGATCGGGCCGCCGTATGCAAACGGTCGAGCAATCCCCGATCGTATATACATTAATCCTTCCCGCTCGCAGGCGGTTAAGTAAATATTTACAAACATAGGAATTTAATTACAAACGACGACCGGGACCTACACGCAGGTCAAGCCCCCTCTTCGTCCAAAGATTACAAAAAAGAGGCTTAATGCCTAAACATAACGAGGTGCTCGGAATTCCAAGTCCCCTCGATTACCCGACCAGTTGTCGTCTCCAGTCGGTATGTACCCGGCCGTATGATCACGCTGATGATGTACGGCCCTTCCCAGTTTTGAGCTAGCTTTCCGCCCTCCAAAGGTTGACTGGCCTCCCTTCGTCGCAGAACATAATCTCCTACTTGAAAATAACGAGGGTTGACCCGAACGTCCTTCGAACTCTTCACACGCTTCTGGTACTCGGCTATACGTCGAGCGGCTAGCTCTCTTTTTTCTTCGACCCCATCGAGATCCACCGCCATAGCATGTTCATTCTCCTCGGCATTGTAGGTTCTTTCTCGATCGGTCGGGATCCAAGCCTCGATCGGGAGTCGGGCTTCAGCTCCGTAAACCAGGGCGAAAGGGGTCTCCAAAGTAGCTTCCCTCGGGGTCGTCCGATAAGTCCATAAGACGTATGGCAACTCATCGGCCCAACTACGACCGGCCGAGTGTAACTTCTTTTTCAGACCTTCCAAAATCGTCCGGTTCGCGTTCTCTACTTGACCGTTTCCCTGCGGGTAAGCCACCGACGACCGAACGTGAGTTGTCCCGATCGTGGCCAAAAAGTTCTGGAAATACTGGCTTACGAATTGGCGGCCGTTGTCGCTGATGAGATGCACAGGCACACCAAAGCGGGAAATCACATTTCGCCAAAGAAAACGAGCACATTGCTGAGAGGTGATCGTGGCTAAGGGCTCGGCTTCTATCCACTTGGAGAAGTAATCGATGGCGACAATTACGAACCTTCTCCGACCAGAGAGCTGAGGGAAAGGACCCAAGATGTCCACCCCCCACCTAGCGAAAGGAATGGCGGTCGTGACTGGCTGGTAGAAGGTTGCCGGTCGTCCAGGCATCCGGGCGAACAGTTGGCACGTCTCACATTCCCGAGCTAACTTTTCACAATCCAGCTGGAGGGACGGCCAATAGTACCCGATCAGCATGATACGACGGGCCAGGGATCGGCCTCCTTGATGTGAAGAGCAAATTCCCGAGTGCAGTTCCTTCATAACTATATCGGCCTCAAATGCGGTCAAGCAACGCATCAGAGGGCCTCCATACGATCGCCTGTAGAGACGACCGTCCGAAACTTGGAACCTTGGGGCTCTAAGCTTGGCCTTCCGAGCACGCTGTGGGTCGTCTGGGAGGCGACCATGTTCGAGGTACTCCTTCAGATCGGTGATCCAATTGTCTTCTACCGGTTGGATGGGATTGATCGGTAGGCGATGAATGCTGTGTCTCGGGATCACCAAAATCCGAGCTATCTTCGACATGTGTTCCGGGGCATCTTGAGCCAATTTAGATAAAATATCTGCGTCGGCATTATCCAATCGGGGTATGTGTCGGACGGTATACCCCCGGAACTGAGCAAGCTTCTCCATGGCAAGATCTCGGTAAAGCTGCAGACGCTCTCCATTGACTTCATAATCCCCGAGAACTTGCCCGACCACGAGCGCGGAATCTGTCTGAGCTCGGATGTACTCAGCCCCCAAGTCCCGAGCGCACTGTAAGCCGTTAACGAACGCTTCGTACTCGGCTTCGTTGTTGGTCGGGTGGAACTGGTACATGAGAGCAAAATAGACCTTGAATCCTTCCGGACTCGTGACCACCACTCCTCCTCCTGCCCCTTTCTTGCTACTTGACCCATCTGTAGCCAGCAACCACCACTCAGCCTCGGGATCCGCAACCTCAGGAGGCCGGGTATCCCGGGCGGTGCACTCAACCAAGAAGTCCGCAAGAGCTTGACCTTTAATAGCCGGTCTCGGTCGGTATTCGATCGCGTACTGGGTCAACATTAACGCCCATTTGACTAGGCGACCTGATGATGAAGCAGTTCGGAGGACTGGCCCGATCGGCTGATCGGTCAACACGCGAATTGCTCGACCTTGGAAGTAGGGAGCCAACTTCTTCGCGGCAATGTATAAGGCGTAAACGACCTTCTCTAGCCGGGAGTACCGGAGCTCGGGACCATGTAGCGCGTGGCTTACATAGTACACCGGTCGCTGGACCCCTTCCGGATCGGTTCAGCACAACACTGCGCTTACTGCGCGATCGGACACGGCGAGGTACACGTCTAGCTCTTCTCCGAGCTCAGGCTTTGAGAGCACGATCGGTGACATGAGATATTCCTTCAGCTCATCAAAAGCCGCTCGGCATTCTTCGTCCCAGACGAATCCATTAACCTTCCTCAATACCTTGAAAAAAGGTAAAGCGCGCTCGGCTAGCTTGGAGAGGAACCGGCTGAGGGCTGCCAACCGACCGGTCAATTGCTGGACTTCCCGAACGGTGGAAGGTGGTTGCATGTCCAGAATCGCTTTTACTTTGGCCGGGTTAGGCTCAATTCCTCTCTTGGTCATCATATAGCCGAGGAACTTGCCGGTCTGAACCGCGAATGTGCACTTGGTCGGGTTCAGCCGCAACTGGTACTTCCTCATGATCTGGAAGCACTCCCGGAGGTCCCGAGTGTGGTCGGATCGGTCCCGACTCTTGACCAGCATGTCATCGATGTAAGCTTCCATCGTTCGGCCCAATAGATCGGCAAAGAGCATGTTGACCATCCTCTGGTAGGTCGCTCCTGCGTTCCGCAGGCCGAACGGCATCACTCGGTAACAATACAGCCCATCCGGGGTCACGAAGGCTGTCTTGCTCTCGTCTTCATGGTGCATCATGATCTGATGGTACCCCTTGAAGGCATCCATGAAGCTCATTAATTCGGCCCCGGCCGTCTCGTCGACCATCTGGTGAATGCTCGGTAGAGGATACGGGTCGAGCGGACAGGCCTTGTTGAGGTCCGTAAAATCGATACACATCCTCCATGCTGGGGGCTTAGGAACAAGAACGATATTTGCCACCCACTCGGGATAGACTACCGGACGGATGTGCTCGATCGCCGCCATCTTTTTGACTTCTTCTCTGACAAATTCGCGGCGATCGGAGGAAAGGTGTCGTGTCTTCTGCACGACCGGCTTTGCTGTGGGGTCGACGGCCAATTTGTGACAGATGACCGATCGATCGATCCCGGGCATGTCTTCAGGCCCCCACGCAAAGATATCAGCATACTCCCGGAGTATAGCCAAAACTTCCGCTCGAAGCTCAGGGGTGAGGGCTCGGCCAATCTTGATCTTCCTATCCGGGCGGTCCTCGGATAGGGGAACTTCTTCTATTTCTTCGGAAGGCTCAGGCTGCTCCTTCCGTTCCTTAGCCTCCTCTTTGGCTATGGTGTTCACCCAGGAAGATGGACCGGAGTCACGTCTATTGACCGCTCGGGTGTAACACTTCCGGGCGGATTGGACATCGCCACGGACCACGCCGACCCCGTTAGGGGTGGGGAATTTCATGCACAGGTGGGGCATAGAAATTATCCCACCGATCTTCATGATGGCGGGTCGGCCCAAGATAATGTTGTGGACGCAATGGAGGTTGACCACAACAAATTCTAGCTCCGTTTGGATCGACTTTGGAGGTGTGCCGATCTCGACCGGGAGCGTTATTTTTCCCTCGGGGTAAATAAGAGCCCCGGTAAATCCTGACAGTGGTACACCGACCGGAGTCAGCTCCTTCCTGTCGAGGCCAAGCTTCTCAAACACGTCCAAGTATAGGACGTTCACACTGCTGCCCGTGTCAACCATAACCCTCTGGACGTCTGTCCCCTTAACGTCAATCGTGACCACGAGCGCCTCCATGCCGTGGTCGCTGCTGGTAGGTTGGTCCTCGAGGGTGAAGGTTATGGGTTCCATCTTCTGCCTCTTCCCGGTCCCCCGGGAATCCACTATAGCGACCGGGCAATTAGTCCGCGGTCGGGAAGCATCTTCCAGTCCACCAAAAATGACGTGGATGGTAGGCTTTCCGGACGGGCGGCTACCAGACGGAGGGTCGGGGTCCCGTCGGTCATCATGACGATCATCCCTTCGATCGTCCCTTCTGTCTTGCCCAGATCGATCAGAGCGGTGATGGGAACGTCTATGATCCCTCCGCTCGGTGTTCCTCTTGTTGTCCTCTCTCTTCCCCACACACTTGTCCAATTTTCCCCTGTTAAGCAGATCTTCCAA